ACTCATTAACATAATGTGTAGTCCAAAAAGTTGGTTAAAGAGTGAGAATCTCGAAGGTTGAGAATTTAATTCAAATTTTTAGAAATTATATGAACAATTCTTTTACTTCTGTTTATTATGCTGCTACACGGTCAAAACAGCAGCCAATGAAGCTATAAAAATTTTCTTTATAAGTTTTCGTTGAAATGGAAGTATTTAATATAGCTTATCTTAGTAACTGAGCTTCGGCACTCTCCGAGCAATCTATGAAATGCGTCTAGACAAGTTTATGTCTGCAATAACAGGATAGTATATAAATTGTATAATCAAACTTTAAACTGTAAACCGTTTTACCTCATATATAAAGCCAGGTGCAGACGTAGTTGTGTCCGTCAGACTAAGAGACGGCGTGTGTCCGTTAGAGATTTGTTACGGCGCAGACACACAATGAGTGATGGAATTGTACATTTGACGACACAACGCTGTCAAAATTTCCGATTTCTATAACTTTATTTCACAAACATATTAAAATTACCGTTTTGCTCATGTAATTTTAACTTTTATGGTGTGTGCATTTTCATCCAATCTCCAAATTATAATTTTCAGTTACATTATTTTTGAGCCATTTCTTATGAAAGCTGAGAAGGTAATTTTTTAAGAAGCTAAGAAACTTTTCAAACCTCAATTCCATATAATGACATCAGGCATGCTAAATTGTGTACATTATTGTACAAAACAAATAACCTATAAATTTTATTACTAATTTCCTATGTATATTAATGATAACATTCTTATCTTATGTCGTGTCGTGAGAGTTGTCTAAACTCAGCTTAACAATGAATCGTCTTACCTCACTGGCTAAAAGTAGCTAGTATTTTAGAGAATTACATTACGAAAACAGCCAGCATATGCTTTAAATATTTTATAAAATGATAATATCAACACTAAATACTATGGTTAAGAAGCTTTTTGAGTTAGTTCATTTATACGAAGTCCTTTTTTTCGTCAAACCGAGTTAGTAAAGCAAAGAATGAAATTGATGATTATCGCATCGTGGCTTGTGGCTTTACATAGGCTAATCGATTTCCCATGCGAAGTGTCAATGATTTCTGTGATTATTTTCACTGGTTAATTAAAACGAAAATATATTTAAATACGCTTAAATAAAAAAAAAATCTCCTTATCTCTCGACCAGGACATGTTTATCAGCTAAAAGCTTGACCACTTAAATGAAAGAAAAATACTACTAATTGAAAGAAAGAAACTAACCAGAAGCCTACTACTGTGCCTTCGAAATCGCAATTACGTATGTTTTCAAAATTTTAATATGACTCCAAATAAATCCATTTTACGACAATACACATATATGACACAACGGAGGCAGAAGCTGACCCTGCCTCTGATGCATAGATAATCTTATCGGATATGGTTATAATAAAATCTATTAAGAACGACTTTAATTTGTCCGATTTTTCTTTTGTAGACAAATGAAGTAGGCCGCTGTTTACTAGAAATATCGATGTTTACATAAATAATTAGTAGTGAATTAGCCGATAAAAATGCACAGAAATGGCTCTCAGTTTACATACGGACTGTGTTTGCTTATATAAATAAACTATTAGTAGAGGTAAATAATCGTGAATAAGTTTTTTTTCTGACTCAAGTTTTGCGTCTTGAAATATAAGCGAACAAACATTTTAGCCGAGGGATGTGTATTTCGGCCATTATCGTTTTATAACGTACGCACCTTCTTCTGGGTAATGTTACAAGAACAACGTTTTCCTGAATGGTCATATAGAATTACGCATTAGTCCGCAGTTTTGCTGCTTGTTGGACCCTTTAAATTGCTACCTATTTGAGACGTTGGGGATTCATTTTGACAGATTTCAGATTTTCCTAATTGTAGAGTTTGCTAACACCCACTGCGACGCCTTTAAGCTCTAATGAAATTTGTATCGGTTGTTTTGTTTAAACTAATGACAATTTTGATGGATGTTTGTGCAACTAGATGTAAGTAACCTAAATATATTGAAATAAAAATAGGTTTGATGTAGATGTATGCCACTTTTTTGTTGCTAGTGCTTGAATATGTTATAAATACATCGTTAAAAAAAGCTCCAATATGCTCCAAGATTAATACTCGTAGTACTTTTACAATGATAGTTTACTATCATCAAACCAAGTTTCGTAAGCAAATACGATTAGTATTATAAATTGCTACTTATACGGTATATGTATGGATGTCGTACATTACCCTTTGCTTATTGTTACTTTAAATTCTTGCTTAATTACATACTTTAACTTTATTAGTTCACTTGTCGACATAAACACGAAGACGTTCGATATTATTTAACAGTAAACAAGTCAAGCAAAGCATCTTACACTTTTAAAACATTGTTTTTTGGAGATTTAACCTGATTTAAACTTGGAAAACAGTCCCCTATTTCCGAGAAAATGGAATTCGGACTCTTTGGCTTTTAAACTTTTTGGACATGTTATCTTTTTTCATCATCTGTTTTTTATTTTTAAAAAGAGTAAAAGTTTTTATTCAGTTTAAAAATGAAAAGATATTCTTCATCTAAGAATTAAAAAGTATGTATGTGTAGTACACGTTGATATTTTAATGTTGGCAGAATTTAAGCTTTGGACCTACATTATTATTTAGTAGCGAAATGAAAACTTTATTTTTGTAATCTAAAGAAATAATAATTTCTTTAATTCTTTGGCTTCGGTTAGTTTATTTCCAAGTGGAAAATATAATTGATTCATCTGATCGTACAATCGATAGTAGTATTGATTATGTATCAAATAAAGAGAAATTTTTATTTTCTATTTTATACTTTATTATGTAGGTTGTTAGATTCAAAATCGTCTAAAGAAATTTAACATTATTGTATCGATTCAGTGTTGAATAACTTTAACAATTGATAACACACGCGTTTGGAATACGAAATGCGTTCAGATTATATCAATTGTATATTAATGATCCTACGCCTGGTTGATTGTTATAATTAATGCATTCACTGTAATATTTAAGCAGATTATTATACGTTATAATGCGGGAAATAGTTCTATTAGTTTCGAAACTAGTGATACGCACCGGCTTTGTGTGGAATTTACAGGTAAAGCGGCGAGCGTGCGATTAAACGCAAGTCTGAAGCTTGCGGTTGGTAATGCATAGCCTTTTATAGGGGCGCACGCATTATCTGAATGGAAACGCAAACCACAATGTATATCTAAACTGCGTTAATGTATTAGTCTGCAACAGTTCGCCGTATAACTATCGAGACTGTTTATCATTTTCCTAGATTTCTTATATTGCAGATTTTTTATGTCTCTATATATTTATATATAAATCAATTGCTGTTCGTTTAATTCGCTAAAATTCGAGAACGCCTGACCCGATATAGTTGATATATTTTTTGTAATTTTTGTCGTTATCCAGGGAAGTTTAAACAGTGAGAAGTGATACGAAGTACACCGGGTCGTCTAATTTAAATACCTATAATTTATAATTAACTAGCTTTTGCCCGCGACTTCGTCCGCGTGGTAAAGTAACTTTGAGCAGCATTTCTAACGAATAATTATTCATTATATCGTGTAAAATACCTGCAAAAAAAGTCTTATCCGCTTAACTTATGCCCTTAGGGGTGGAATTCATCAAAATCCTTTCTTAGGGGATGCTTACGTCATAGTAGCTTTATGCATGCAAAGTCTCAGCCATTAAAATTGACAAAGTTTCATACAAACTTTCATCCCCTATTTTATCCTCTTGGGGGTGGAATCAATCGAAATCCTTTTTTAGAGAATGCCTACGTCATAGTAGCCTTATTTATACAAAATCTCAGCCCGATCGGTTTAAAATTGACAAAGTTTCATACAAAATTTCATCCCCTATTTTATCCCCTTGGGGATAGAATTGATCAAAATCCTTTCTTGGCGGATGTCTACGCCATAACATCTACCTGTATGCCAAATTTCAGCCCAATCCGATTTCAGTGGTTTTGGCTTTATGGTCAGTGAGTTATATATATTTAGATTATTTCCCGTGGGAATGCGTCATTTTCCCGCGGTAAAAAGTAGCCTATGTCTTTTCTTGGGTATTAAAATATCTCCATACCAAATTGCATGCAAATTGGTTCAGTGGTTTAGGCGTGATTAAGTAACAGACAGAGTTACTTTCGCATTTATAATATTAAGTATAGATTCGTAATTTTAAATTATTGGTACATATGTAAAAAATCACTATTGTATGTCAATTCGTTTAATTCGTGTATGTCATCCAAGCCGTTTGATAAATTTTAATTTTTAACATATGAACGTTGTTGAGCATTACCTTTGATTACTGTAATGACTACAGAATTGTACAAGGTAGATATTATATGAAAGAATCTCGCTATGGCAGCTTTATACTATAAATATATTTACCAAACTTATTTATATTTTTATTTTATTAACCTACAGTTCCTCTCCTACTGGAAATCTAAAGTCAAAGTCTGTCCGTCCGTCTCTCATCAGGTCATATCTCATGAACCGTAAAAGTTAGACAGTTAAAATTTTCACAGATGAAGTATTTCTATTACCGATTCAACGACAAAAACTTATATCTTCTAGTTATACTTCTCGTAAAATAAATATTTAAGGGGGTGCCAGGATACAACAAAATTGACTTTTTTTCTTGTTTTAGCTCGATATTGATAAGACAACAGGTACACGCTTGAAATATTTACAGAATATGTATTTATATAGTAACTTTAAAAACAAATAATTACATTCAAATAAAAAACAAAAATTTAAGGCGAGCTCCCATACAAAAAACGTGATATTATGCTTAGTTTTGCTCGATATTGATAACGGTATACGGAAACTTCGTGCACGAGTCCGACTCGCACTTGGATGGTTTTTTAAATATTTATATAAATGTCAGCCTATTATCACTATTGACAGCCATTTATATAATATATAAATACCTATCAATAGTGCTGTATTAAAGGTTTATGAAAATATATCAAAGTACTTACCATATGAAGATTTCGTATCTCGGACATAGCATCTGTAATGGAAAAAAATATTGTTAAAATTCGACGTGATTCGAGAGAATGTTATACCTACATTCACGTCACATTTAAATGTGAGAGAATCTTTAGGAATGGGATGTATAATTATTATATTCCATCAATTTAGCATTCATTGAATAGAATAGAATAATTCTTTATTGTACAAATCGCCAATTATAGGTAACAATAATATAAAACAAATAGTAATAGTAGCCTTATCGCTAAGAAGCAATTTCTTCCTGGCAACCGTTACCGTTTGGAAAATTTTAATTTAATTCTAAATTAGGTAGTCTATGGTGACATAAATGTACATGATATAAACATACATACGAGTACATAATTATCATACATACTATAGCTATAAATATCATACATACTATAACTGGATATAATGTAAAATTTCATAATGACAGATAATGCTCCTTTACTAGATTTTTGAAACTATCTACCGTTTGCGCACGTCTTATATTTTCGGGCAATGCATTCCAGAGACAGGCAGCTTGAACTATAAAAGATTTGTCAAGAAATTTTATGAAATGCATTGGTGTCTCCAATTTTAAGTTCTCCGATAATCTCAAAACTCGATAATGCTACCCTGGAAAATACTATTAATAAAAATTGTTGAAAAAACGCTTATTAGTAGCGAAAAGTAACAAGTGTTTGAAAAATTTGTCAGTTCCCTTAGATTCTAGGTAGTTCAGTTTTGTGGTCATGGGTTCGAGTGTTCGAGCCCGTGGTAGATTTAAAAAAAAAAACATTAAAAATATTTTGAATTTTTGATAACAGCTTCTTGTTTCCTATTTTGCTCTGTATTGCGGAGCCAGATGGTGCAGTAGTTAGCGCGTGAGAACTGCCATACGTTTGTTAAGTGATTGCCACAAGGACCGATCACAGGATGTGTCACCAAAGATTTTTTTATTTCTAACTCCTCCGTGCTCCAAAAGGCACGTAAACGTTGGTCTCGGTTGCATCTGCAGTCATAACATCCACCAATCCACACTGGGTTCGTACCACGTGTGTATCATGGCCCATTCTCCTTGTTCGATTCAATTCATAAGGTAGGCCAATTACTTTGTGCAAAACCAGTAAAAAATCAACCGAACTGAATACTTGTATACTAATAATGATGACGAAATATGAATGAAATGAAGTTTAGCGTTCCTTTTGACTGATCACCGTAGAACATAATTTACAAATTGTTTACCAGTTTTAATTTTAAACTTAGATTTTATCACTAAAATTTTAAGTTCAGTTTTCAATAAGAAAATAACTTGCAGCCGCCGACATAACATTATTCTACAATCGATAAAGACAAGGGTAGTAGATATTTTTACGATTAAAGCCTTTAAGGGTTCAGGAAAACCTTCGCTTAGTTTTACGATAATGTGAGAGGAATGGGAAATTTTATATTACAGTTTTTATTTTTGCGTTAAAGTGTATATAAAACTCTCATTATGATCTGTTACGTCGAATAAAAGTAATTTTGCTCCTGATGCTAACAAAAGTCCGTCCTTGATGAGCTGATGACTGGAAACGCTATAAATTGGGACCACAAGAAATTTGGGACCAACCAACACCGTGACAGAATACAAGACTGTTATAAAACTGGAACCATATCCAAACTTATAACGAGGTCGTACTATCTTTTTCTTCAGATCTATTACTTGGAATGAGTACACAGTGTACAGGATAATACATATTTACAATTATATCATATCTTTATAAAACAAATTCCATTTTCATTTTCTAACAGAAATAATCACAGCAATTTTATATTTGGATTTAAACTAATGGTAGCTGAAATGAAAATATTTATTGAAAACGTAATATAGTACCAAAAAATGAAAGTTAAAGGTTAGCAGGACTATAAAGAGATTACTTTTAGGTAATATTAATAATATTTTCCAATGTCACGTCACTCAATGTCAGGAGTAGTGATTTATTAGACCTACAACTTTATCCGCGTATCTTTAGAGTATATTATTGATGTTTTGGAAAAAGTATTTATATGTTTTTCTGTATAAAATAAAACTGAGAGATAAAAGCATAACAGTCCACTGCAGGACTAAGAGCCTACTCCACGTTAATGAAGGGTTTTGCCATGATGTCTACGCTTGGTAAGTGGGTTGGAAATCGCAGTATCAAAAATATGATTTAACAGAGAGCACTTCTGTCCATTCTCTGTTTAGTTTGTAATCCTTTAGTCTACTCTTACGACACCCGTGGGAAGAGTATATATTATGAAACTATAACCAGCAATTTCCAAGTTCAGTCAGTATCTACAAGAACTGCTCTGTCCCACCAATTCACACGTACAAACGGTAACAATCTCGCAACAAACACTTTATCTTGTTTTGTCCTTCCACGGAGCATCCTCAGGAGTTCTCGGTTTCTACATCAACAGCTTATTAATGTTTCACGGATGTGATACCAGGACTTCCTTATTTTACTTCACTTTTTATTTTAGGTTCCAATAAACAGCCATGCGATTCTGCAAAAATCCAAACCTGAATTCGAATTCACCAGGTGCAGGTTCAAAAAGCAGCATCCTCTCAAACTTGAATTTATAATAACGTTTTGTGACATAAGCGAAGTGGGTTTCAAAATGACAGGAATAGAATATCTGAGACAATATCCAAACAATTTTGTTTTGTATTTTCACATAGAAATTGGAATCAATAGAATTTCTACATTAAATGACGTGAATTAGAATTCGAGTCTGGGTTCTTACAGAATCATTATATTATGATATTCTCATCAATGTTCAGGCAGGCTGTCGTAACTAACCTTTCGTATCGTTTTCATTCCTTAGATTCATATCACTAACTTTGCTCATATCGATAAACCTTTTTAGTGTTTTCCATTTATATTCTTTACTTTCTCCATTCTATAACTGTGGACCTTCAATTTTATATCTGTAATCATTAAAATTCTGTAATATAAACTTATCCAAACCTTTACGAACTTTCATCCTATGTTTTTGTCTAATTATACTAATGTGAACCCTTACCTGTACTTTTCATACTTTTTCTTTATACATTTTACCAATTCTAATCATATTAAAGCACTTATTTACAAATTATAACACAAATTATCGCTAATTTTAATTGTTTTGACAGAATTGACATCAAAGTTTTTCTTCGTTGCTATGGTTATATTTGATACTCTTCATGAGAATTGACTCATTGTTTGTCAGTTTTAGGCATTGCAACTCTGTAGTTTTTAAATTTTTAGGGTTCTAATTTGAAATCATTTACTTCTAAATTTGAGTTCGTCTTCAGGTATATAAAGCCTCGCTCAAATAGTTCTTCATCACTTGTTGAAGGCAACAGTTGCCAAGTTAGCTTTTTGGAGCTCGTACAGAGCTAGCTAAATTCTTAAAAGGTCTATTTCCCGGGGCCGACTGCCCTGGGAACTCTTCAAAGTTACGGTCTCAAAGTCACATGACATCTTTCTGGCTTTAACTAGACGACAACAATTCAATACTCCACTATAACCTTCTTCGCTACTTCACCCTCTGCTATCTTATACCAAAATTGCCTCTCCTGGAGGCTGTCTGCGAGTATACGTCTTAGGCCCGAGCTGCTGCTCAGTTCTGGGCTGCCGAAGAATCCCCTGTTCGACGCATCGGGACTACGCCTCGCCGATTTACGCTCTCGGTTCTTGGCTGCCGAAGAATCTCCTGTTCGATGCATCGAGACTACTCCTCACCGATTTACGCTCTCAGTTCTTGGCTGTCGAAGAATCTCCTGTTCGACGCATCGAGAGACTACGCCTCGCCGAATTTACGCTCCGGATCCAGACGCCCCTCAAGACTGCTGAAGTACTTCATCAACGGAACTTCACCGCTGACCCACGCCCCTTCACCTACACTGACACTCTCACTCACACTTCTTCACTTTTCACCTCAATAGTCACCTCGTCCCTTTTATTTTATTTTTTTTTTGTTTAATGTTAATAAATTATTTAATTTAATTTAACATCTTTTAGTATTTTTATCCTTGTTTCATAACAAGGCATCGTAACGATCGCGGACCGCGACCATTATCTACTACGCCACCGAACTACTTCATGATTCAAAAGTATATAATAATTATTTTAAATAAAAATAAATAAAAAACAATGAAGAAAAAGTAAACGAAATTTGTCCTTCTTTCATTTCACTAGCACAGAGCACTTCGTTAATTAAAAACTCGGCTTCTTTATTTTTTCTACAGAACCACTCACAATGATTCCGTAGTTTATTATTTAGAATACCATTATGATATTATGCGAATGTCATACTGCGAAATTTTGTCGGATAACAACGATCCCCTTTTGTTTCTCAGCAGACGCTTTCAAAAATTCTATACATGTAAAAAATGAATTACTTACTTTTAAAAATGAAAATATATTTTTGAAATCGGGCGCACCGATCCAACCACCATCCGACTGCAGTATAATTTCTAGGAGATGTCCACAAAAGTATACCTACTTGAATTTTTCGAATAACATTTATAGGGTAAATAAAGTACATTAAATTTTGTTCATAAATATTAAGTTTATGGCCCATAACCATATACTTAATATTATAAAGATGAAAGATTTAGTTATTTGTTCGTTCGTTTGTTTACATTAAATAGCCCGAAACTGCTTGAAAGATTTTAATAATTCTTTAACCTACAGGAAGCTAGATCAAATACGATGAATATAGGCTATATTTTATCCCGCAAAACAGCAAATAAAGGGATGAAAATGTGTATTAAAGATTGTATGGTGTATTAATACATCACCATAGTAACCAAGTAGCTCGGTGGCGTAGTGGATAAGCGCCGCGGCCCGCGATCGTTGTTGTTAAGCAACTTTCGCAAGGGTCGGGATGGGTGACCAAAAAATTATTATCTCGAGCTACTTCGTGCTTCGGAAGGCACGTTAAGCCGTTGGTCCCGGCTGAATTTGCAGTCGTTAATACCCTCCAATCCGCATTGGGCCAGCGTGGAGGGTCATGGCCCATCCTC